GAAGAAGAAGAAGAAGAAGAAGAAGAAGAAGAAGAAGAAGAAGAAGATTCATCCTGTTCTGCCTCTCCATCCAGACAGCTTAGTCTCCCACCAAAGTCAAAACATCCTGCCACTGAGGTCACCGTGTCCCTCATTTTCTCAACCAAAAAATTGGGATGTTGTTACCAGGAAAGATAGGGGTAGGGATGAGGAGAATACCAGCACAGAGGCAGGCATTCTCTCAGAGCTTCAGTATCTCTGACATTGGGTAATAGCACTCTTTAGTCCCTACTGCTGCCCTCCCACAGGCGCAGTGTCCTGCTCTGCCATGTGCCATGTGCATGTACTAAAAGGATGCCACATAGGGTTCTCTTATAGGGTTCTCTTATCCTGCTTGAGAAGGAACTGAGAACACAGGTATGAAGATGTGCATTTATACCAGGAAGACTCTGCCCATAATCACTTTCTCCGTCTCCACAGAATCTGTTTAAATTCAGTTTACAAGAAGACGCCAAAGAGGTAAGGGCCTTTTAAGGTTTGTAGCTTTAACAGTCTTAAACTATGACTGGAAGATTTTCTATTTGTGGAGTTATAGTTCACGGTGTGTGTGTGTGTGTGTGTGTGTGTGTGTGTTATTGTTGAGGTGGAGAGCAGCAAAATCACTTATAGGTGAGGACCAGAAGCAGGGTTGACATTACTACTTTGACCTCTGGTTTAGTGCTTCCAATCTGCAACCTTGTCTTCTCCCAATGAAAAGAGGATGCACTGCCAGATGGATGAGTTGCCTAACTATGGGTCATGGAAACCATTGTTGAGGAACATAAGTCATAAGCTATGCAGGAAAAAGATGTTGCATCCACTTTCTTGTATGCAGAAAACTTCATTAGTGACCTGCATGTTCTCCCTTGACCATGAAGTCAGTGTTGAATCAACAATACAGTACACTTAAAAGAGGGGGAGGAAATTTGGCTGTTTTCCAGTTTGGTTATTTTGGGGAATGGTCGCGTGTACCTTCGGTGTATGATAAAACTATGGATTTCATCTGAACATGTGGATTTCAAGTGTTTAACATCGACATGACAATAATAACTGTAGCATGTGAAGTTAAAGCTGAAAAAAGCCTTTTTAAAGAAAAACCCTGGGGTTGAAGAAGTAGCAATCCCTGCTCATATGGTGTTTAATTATATTATAAATAAATCTTACATATACGAGTTCTTTGTGAGAAATTTATATTATATAAGGTACTTTCAAACAGGGACCCATATATAAGGATGATGACAATAGTGTTTCCAGTGGTTCCCAAGAAACTAGTCCTAGAATTTTACTTCAACAGGGGTCCAGGATTCACTAAGTCAGCATTTGTGAAAACTTTATAGACTTACCTATTAGGAATATTTAAAATCAATTCTGGAGAATATCCTTGATTGAACTTTTCTATTTCTTTTAACCTTATTCCTCACAAATGGCCAAAAAAATTGGTCTCTCTGACTCACAGACCTCCTAAGGACATAGATTTCTCTGGTCACTGCCCACCGTCATGGGGTCTATGTTCCAGCAGTTTCCTTAGACAAGCAGAACGGGAGATGTGGGTGGTGTCTGTCACTGTGCTGCTCTCTCCTGCAGAGCCTTCCCTTTCTGCCACCTGTGATTGATGGGGTGGTGCTGCCAAAGGCACCAGAAGAGATCCTGGCAGAGAAAAGCTTCAACACTGTGCCCTACATGGTGGGCATCAACAAGCAAGAGTTTGGCTGGATTCTGCCGACAGTGAGCCTAAAACCGACCTCTTAGAAGCTTCTCTGCTTAGCCATGATCCTGCCTCCACTCTGCTTCCAGGAAGTCTGTCTTTAAGGCCTGCTTTGTGTCTGGGGCAGCTGTTCCCATTGTTATAATGTATCCATCCAAAGGAACATGCCTGTCATGGCTCAACCTAGATGTACAGGCTTGGGATCTCTATACCAATTATTTGTCTTTTAATGAAAATTCTGAAGTTCTCGGGCTGGGTAGGAGGTCTGTAGGCATAACCATTGTGCATCCTGAATAACCAAGGTTAAGTATAAAGTAAGGCAGGAGCTGGGAGTTCAAGAGAGTCCAGCAGAGAGACATATGCCTCCTCCTTGTGCTTGGACACTCAGGATCCATAGATCTCCAATACACTCAGTGAGTGGTTCATTGCCACTGAGAAAACTGATTCTGAGGTAATTTTGATTTTGAAAGGCAAAAAAAAAAAAAATAGATTTTTCTCTTTAAACACTAAAACATTCACTGTTAATAGTAAAATCGAAGGAGGAGGGGGAGTTGAGTCCAGTAATAGAACAGCAGGAATAGAATGATAAAGCATTATCTGAATTCAACTCCCTGACTCCAAGGCTGAAAGTGTTTCCAGATTGTTGAGAGCTCTGCAAGGCACTGTGGTGTGATGATGGTGAGTCTACATGCCTGTCCTTTCAGGGAGAAAGACTCCTCTTTATGACAGCAAGCAGAGGTCCAAGTTGAAGTAAGAACCTTAATGTAGTCAGGCCTCTGTTTTTCCCAGGAACCTAAGCAAAGATCAACAGTTAGCTTCCTAAATGTTTGCCCAAAATTGTTGATAATATTTATTAATTTACCTTTAAGCTCTTGAGCTAAGCTTTATTTTGATGTCTTATATTTCAAAAATGAAAGAAATGATTGATTGACAGCTGAGCGTTTTGTATAGTAACAGCTTCCAAGTGAAGATTCAATTCATCAATGTTTTGTTGTTATTGTTCTGCTGGAGGAAAGAGTTGAGCTTTCTCAGGTAGGCATTTTGTGGGGTTGTGTTTATCTTAGGAAGTGCCTTATGCTGTTGCTGGTGCTAAGCACCTACCTTTGAACATGATCAGTCCAAGCTGAGAGTTCTGCGGCTCTCTACTTCTGCAGTAAGATTTCAGAGATCTGCTAGAACACAGGCACAGTTTCCAATTCAGACACTGAGTCTCAGGGGAGGGTGTAGGCTGTGCCTCTGTCTCTGAGCTTTCTGCTTCTCCTCTAACTTTGAATAATTGTTTCCTAGGGAACATTGTCTCCAGACTGATAAGGATTTAGGGTGCTACTAGTTTATTTCTTGATTTTCTCTATATAAATCCATTTGCTTCACTGATTTCTTTCTTTCTTTCTTTTTTGTCACACTCATGGGAGACCCATGCCCAATGATGAGCAACCAGAGCCTTCATCCCACAGTGGGCAGGATGCTCTTCTTGCTTGTCTCTTTCTGTTCATTCCTGAGGACTCACAAATGTTTAACCTTTTTGTTTTTTTTAACAGATGATGGGAATTCCACTAAATGATGAAACACTGGACAAGAAGATGGCCATCAAAATTCTGCAGAAATTGTCTTCCATTACTGTAAGCATCTAAGGACCCATGGCCATTGACTGAGTAATACAGCTACTTGGAGGGACTGGGCCAAATTACAGATCAATGTAATGTTTCCCAGTGCATCGCCCCAGAAGGCTTTGCACAGGTCACCGGAGAGTCACACTCAATGAAGCCATAATTGGCTGGAAAGGCTGGTGATCACCTTTGTCATCCATTTCAGGGCATACAAGAAGATTTAATCCCAGCTGTCATTGAGAAATATATAGGAGATAGCAATGACCCTGTCAAGATCAGAAAGGGAATCGTGGAGGTGTTTGGGGATACGTTATTTGGTATCCCATCAGTGATTGTGTCCCGTGGCCACAGAGGTGAGTTTGAGACAGATGAAGATTCAACCGCTTTGTTCCCTAACCTGCACACTCCCTAGGATAGACAGATGTGGAAACTTTTCATGGTCAATGTGCAAAGTCTGATTCAACAAAGGTCCCATTCTGTTTTGTTTAGCAAGCTGAGAATGAGGGGCAAGTCAAAGTAGTTAATATGGTAACTGATACCATGAAGCAGCACAGGGATGTGTGGGCTGACACAGGGAGAAGAAGGCCAGTCAGTGATGTGCTGCCATGCACATGCACATTCTGGACCACTGGAACTATGGACTCTCTTGGGAGCAATCAGATGTCAGGTATCAGGGTTATCCCAGCGTAACAGAAAAGGGAGGTATTTATCCACCAATATTCACTGTTAGTTTGTGCTTTGATCTGCCACAAAAATGGGTAAGGTAGATTATAGTGACAAGAGTAAACCTTGAAGCAAAGAGTCGCTGGTGCTGGAGGTGGAAGTCAAGCTTCCATGCCTCGAGAGGGGCACCAGAGAGACTCAAGCACATCTGCTGATATGTGGAATAGAGGCAGAGTTTACATTCTTAAGTTGTTTCTAAACTAAATTGCTACACAATGGAGCCACGAGACAGTAGGAGTTAAGTATAGGGTCAGGATGTTTGTTCAGGTGCAAGGAGGACATGGGTGTGTGTGGCAGGTTTGAGAGTTTTTACTCTGTTGTCATTGTCACAAAATATCTGACATAAACACTGTAAGGGAGAAGAGACTTTTTTGTATTGTTTTAATACATGGTGAGCAACTCCATTGCTCTATCCCTGGGATGAGGCTGAGCATCATTTTGGGGAGCATGGTAGCGCAAGCTGGGTCATCTCATGGCACAAAAGAAGCAAAGACAAAGAGAGCTACAAGTGGTCAGAAAGATCGAATCACAAGTGTCTGTCCCAAACAACCTGGGGGATGGCCTTCCCTCTAAAGTCTCCATAGCCTTTCAGAATAGCACTGCCAGCTGGAGACCTCTACTTGAATATGAGTCTGTGGGGGTCATGTATACAGACCATAGTATCCCATCCCTGCCCAGCAAAAGGCTCATGGCTGTTTCATAATGTAAAAGGCATTCAGCCCATCTGCAAGAACCCCTACAACTGGCAATTTTGTTTAGTTGAAAAGTTAAAATCTTAAGTCTTCTTGGCTACTCTAAGCAAAAGTTTTACTGTGGGGCCTAGTGAAATTAATAAAGCAAGTCATATGTCACAGAATAAATAATAAATATTCAGATTCTTTCTCTTCCTCCCTTTCTCTCTCCTCCTCCTTTCTCTCTCTCTCTCACCCTCTCTTCCCTCTATATTTTTCTCGTCCTCTCTCCCTCTGTCCCCCTTCCAATGTCATACATTTTGATTCCCATGTAGCTTCATTTTTATTTTGGTTTGAAGTCAGGTAGTAGATATTTCATTTTTTGTTTCCGCCAAACATTTTCTTGCTTCATGTGTGTGTGTGTGTGTGTGTGTGTGTTGTAGTTCCAAATAATTTGAAACTGTTTTTTTTTCTAGTTATATCAAAAATGATGTTGGAATTACTTCAGAGGGACTAAAGTGAACTAGTAGGGTGCTCGGGATAATACAGGCATTTTAACAGCTTTAATTCTTCTAAACCAGTGGTTCTCAACATGTGGGTTGCAATCTTCTTGGAGGTGTAATAATCTTTTCATAGGGATCACCTAACACAGACATTTACATTACAATTCATAACAGTAGCAAAATTACACTTATGAAGTAGCGATGAAAATGCTTAGTTTGTTTCTACCTATCTGGCTGCTCTCCCTTGTGGCTTGATGGTTTTCCACAGTGGAATGCTTTGAGTCTCTTCTGCTTTTATTCTTACTAATTTTACCTGAAGTCCCCTTGTACTTACATCAAGAATCGCTCACACATAGCAACCGACTTAGAGCTGGTAACAGTTTTCCATTGTTTGCATATAAGAACACCACACTTCCTCTACCCTATATACACTTTATGACTTTGATGTCAGAATTTACATAAAATTTTTTGTAATGACAATTTCTTTGAGCCATAGCTCTTTTTTTTTTTTTCAGCTGCACTTGGTGCTATTTTCATCTTTACCCTTTGAAATGAGAACACGGTCTCACACACCATCCTTCCAGTTCCCGAGTACTACAAAGACTGTTCTGTTAACTTTTATCTTTGATATGTGTGCTGTCATGTTTCCTGTTGTTCACTAGTATCTTTCTGCTTCACTTTAAAGAGTTACATAGTTTCTAGAAGGCCTGTGTGGAGGTCATTCGTTTCACAAGCCTTGTTTGTGTATTTCTCTTCATTTCTGAGTGTCTCTTTCTGCAGAACAGCATTGCTGGTACACAAAAGGTATGTCTCTGATCACGCTTGCAGGAGATGATTTTTACTACAGAGGTACTTACATATCCATGTTCATCACTGTGTTGTTCAGAACACCTAAGACATGGAATTGTTTTCTATGTTCATCAACAGATGAATGGATAAAGGAAATGTAGCAAATATACACAATGGGATTTTTCTCAGCCATAAAAAAAAAAAGACAGTGCTTGTATGGAAATAATGATTTCCCTCATAATGGAAACATCCAGATACAGAAAAACAAATAGCACATATGTGAAGCCTAGGTTTAAGTGTGTGTGCGTGTGCATGTGTGTTTGTCTGTCTATGTCTGTCTCTCTGTGTGTATAACCAGAAAGGGGAGTGTGAGGTAGGATGGAGAGATCTGGAGGGAAGGAGGAGAGGTGAGAGTAGGTAATAGAACACATATGACATGAATGCAGAGTGGGCTATTAGGTGAAGGAAGTTCCAGCCAGAGGGAGGGAGGAAATGGGAAAAGAGATAAATAAAACAAGGTGCTGCGAGAGTTCCATAACAGAGGCCACTCTCATCTGATAACTTAGAGAGCAATTTAAAAAGAAATAAATAACATCCTTGTCAGATACCCTGGCTCAGTCTCCAGGAATTTTCAAAGCCAGGCTGAATTGCGGATGCTTAGAATGTTGTAGATCTTCTTGAAATGAACAAACGCTAGTGTGTTATCACCAATACCTATATAGTGCACATACCAGGTTCATCATATATATTCATTTTAATTGCATTAATGTCAGACTCAAACACCACTTTTACTTTTAATTAACCATGCAAATATAAACAAATCAAGGCATTCTCTTGAGGCTGTTTTTCTGATGTGCTTATAAACAGCGGTTTCGGCTGGAAAGATGGCTCAGTGGTTAAGAGCACTGTTTGTTCTTCCAGAGGTCCTGATTTCAATTCCCAGCAACCACATGGTGGCTCAATATATACATAAAATGAACAGGGGTTTCCTGAACGGAGGGGCCTTGATTCCATCTAGGTGTGTGTCAGACATGTGCTGTTATGAATCTGTGTCTTCCCAGATGCTGGAGCTCCAACCTATATGTATGAGTTTCAGTACTACCCAAGCTTCTCATCACACTTAAGACCAAAGAATGTAGTCGGAGACCATGGAGATGAAATCTATTCTGTCTTTGGCGCCCCAATTTTAAGAGGTAATGGATCTTTGCTGGTATAATGGTAGAAATAATAGATCTCTGAGTTCCAATCTTGTTTTGACAGCCTTGAACAAGCTTCTGCAGTCTTGATCTTAATTTATTGATACAGTATAATGGGCTTCAGGTACATATGGAGGAGGCCAACCTTTCTCCTGGTCTAATATGCATGAAGTAGAACATATTAATGTGTCCCCAGCATAATTGCTCTCACAGTGCTGATCGTTGACAAGAGAAAGAGATGTGTGTCACATATAGTAGGTCACTTGATGACAAGGATGCCACTTCTTGAATTTATACTCAAAATAACATATCAGAACACGACTGAAGGCGAGATCAGAATTGATGCTAGCTGTGAATCAGATTCACATGCGTTGGCATATCAGCCAATCTGTGTAGATATTTAAAATATGTGGATATCTATTTTACCTATATTATAGTTAATAATGCATTATCAAGCTCTGACACAGTTGATATATTGAGGAAAAAAACATTCCTAAACCTTTGACTTTCAGAAACTTCATGTGGCTTCTAACCCACCTCGTAGCTGCTCATGGCACATCGGTGTCCCTGGGCAGCTCCCAGTTAAGTAAATACTTAGCGCATTCACATTTATATTTTCCAACCCCCACAAGTTTACCAAACTAAGACCTAAGAACCAAAAATATGGGTTAGAAGAAACCCCGTGGTGTGACCTTTCTACTCTGAGTGAGGAGGAAGAAACAGATGGGCATGGATAATGCAGGTAGCTAACTCTGGATGGGCTGCATTCCACTCCTTAATCCTTGATCAGTTACCGTCAGTCTGAAAGTGTACATCACTTAGCCGGGATTTTGCAGACTTTTGACTAAGTAGGCATGGAATAAGGCTCAGAGTTTTGCCTTTCTAAACAGTACCTCAAGTTCTGCAGTGGCGGGTCCACCAGTGAGGGTTTTCTAAACCTCTCTCTTTTTGTAATTCCCCACAGAAGGTGCCTCTGAAGAGGAGATCAAACTCAGCAAGATGGTGATGAAATTCTGGGCCAACTTTGCTCGGAATGGGTGAGGATGTTGGAAAAGATGGCACTGGGGTGGTGGACAAGTTCGAGCCTCCAGGGCACTTGTAGGGATGAAGGATACTTTCTCAAGTTTAGTGATAACCTCAAATACAGTTAGTCCAAACCATTGCTCTTACATTGTTTCTTCCCATCTCTTGGGATGCACAGGTACTTGGGCACTGATAATTCAGGAATAACTATACTCATTTAAAAATGTGGGAATCACAGGATAGCTTTGAGAAATTCCATTTGATTCTGTTTCCAGGAATCCCAATGGGAAGGGGCTGCCCCATTGGCCAGAGTATGACCAGAAAGAAGGTTATCTGCAGATTGGTGCCACCACACAGCAAGCCCAGAGACTGAAAGGGGAGCAAGTGGCTTTCTGGACTGAGCTTCTGGTCAACAAACAACCCAAGCCAGAGCACAGTGAGCTTTAAATACAAAGCTTGCCAGCTTCAGACCAGAGGAGCCATGGTACAGTTCTTCCACTTAAGGCATTTGTAAATCAAAGATGGATCTTGGAGGATCCTGAAGAACTCTGTCATAGAGGCAGGCAGAGGCCAGGGAAGGGAAATCTTTGTACTTGTGGCCTCAATTTGGAGAATAAATGTTCTTTATTATCGTCAAATAAGTGTCTATGTTTTAGGTTGACTATAAATGCATGCATCCAAGAAAGAAAGTAAGTGGCTGCAGGCGGAGAAAAGAGGGAAGGAAAGAGGGGGAGGAGGGAGGGAGAGAAAATTCCTAAAAAGATCATCCACAAGAGGCAAACTGTTACCTTAAAAATCAAAGAGAAAAGAAAGATGTTGCAAGAAAAATAGGTTTTGAATTTAGGCTTGCCTTGTACCTCTAACTGGGAGATGTTATCCAACGCGAATGAAAACAATACTAACATTTACTAAAGTTCCAGGAGTGAAGTACGGGCTACTGTGAGAGTTTGAAGGCCACACGAACTGCATATTGAAGGAAGAATTTATACCAACTACAGGTCCCTCTATATCTTACTGTCAGGTGTTCATGGGAAAAAAAATCAGATGCATGTTTAAGACCTTAGGAATCCCATCTCCATCTCTGTAGACATGCAGCTCTGCTCAGACTTGTACTCTGATGAAAGAAATCCTGCAACAAGCATTATTTCTTTCAGGGCCCTGGTAAAGACCCATTGCAGTTTAAGAAGTGGAGAAAAATCTTAACCTATGGAAAATAAGAAAAACTGTCCAGTTAGAAATCATTAGCAATCATTACTGCGAGTGGTGGACAAATCACAAAGGAGTCACCATGTTCAATAATAAACACAGTAAGGCTGGAACAGGACTGAAGAAACCAACCACTCCTGGATGACACGTTTGAGTCACAAAGTGCAACATTTCAAGCAGGAGTGATCTTGAAGGGTGGGTGTGAAGGTCTAAAGCTGAGGGTTGAAGAAGACAGTAAGAAAGAAGAATCGATGAGGAAGGGTAACCATAACTGAGGATTATGAAAAAGATACTTATAAATCTACTAATCTATGCTTTAAAGCTATAATCATAAAATAGAATTTGAATAGAAGTACCTTGCACGGATGAATGATGCCAATCCCAGAATTTATGATAAAAATCTCAGTTACAGATATGGGATAATTATCCATTATTAACTAGTCAGAAAGAGGCTCCTGAGGTTTCCAAAAACAACAGAAGCTACTGCCATTGCTTTGCGCTTCCTACTAGAATGAGCTAGTAAGAACCTATTTGTGAAGTTACCACATACCTTGATTACAACACAGAGAAATGAAACAAACTCAACTGTAGACTTCTTCCCTACTGGTTAACTTTCATATTGCCAGAAAGTGCTATGATGGTTAACCTGGGAAAACCAACTCATGAATGCAAATATCTAGTGTGCTCACTGTATCTTCCAGGACACTGGTCTTCCAGGAAAAGTGTGTCCACTGGGACAAAACTGGTATGATTGTCTTAGAAGTAACCACCTCCTCTCTGCTTACATTTGAAGCTTGCTCCATTGGAGAGAGTTTATGCCTGGTACTGTATACCTGATCAAAAGCCTATGGCTAGGAGATCATTGGTCCTGGCAGGGAAATTTACTCCTGCTGTTTTGCTAAATGGAAATAGTGTCAAAGTTCCTTCTTAATATCAATGTACACAATGTTTACACTTTAAGCCCTGTAGTGAATGGTGTTGAAAATAAAGACTTATGGATGTTCAAGAATCTGAGAATAATTGACTGTTGAATAGTTACTCTTTTTAAATTTTTTATTTTTTAATTAATTACAGTTTATTCACTTTGTATGCCAGCTGTAGCCCCCTCTCTCATGCCCTCCCAATCTCACCCTCCCTCTTCAACTCTCATGCCCCTCCCCCAGTCTACTGATACAGGAGGTCCTCCTCTCCTTCCATCTGATCCTAGTCTATCAGGTTTCATCAAAACTGGCTACATTGCCGTCCTCTGTGACTGGTAAGGCTGTTCCACCATCAAGGTAAGGTTATCAAAGAGCAATTCACTGAGTTCATGTCAGAGACAGTCCCTGTTTCCATTACAAGGAAACCCACTTGAACACTGAGCTGCCATGGGCTAAATCTGTGCAGGGGTTCTAGGTAATTTCCATGGTTAGAGTATCAGTCTCAGAAAAGACTCCTGTGCTCAGATTTTTTTGGTTCTGTTGCTCTCCTTGTGGAGTTCCCGTTCCCTCCAGGTCTTTCTATCTCCCCATTCTTTCACAAGATTCCCTGCACTCTGCAAAAAGTTTGGCTATGAATCTCAGCATATGTTTTGATAACCTGCTGGGTGGAGTCTTTCAGAGGCCCTTTGTGATAGGCTCCTGTCCTGTTCCCTGTTTACTCCATCTTCTGTCCATCTCATTCGCCTTTCTAAATGAGATTGAGCATCTTATCCAGGGCCCTCCTTCTTGATTAGCTTCCTTAGATGTACAGATTTTAGTATGATTACCCTATATTATATGCCTAATATCCACTTATAAGTGAGTATATACCATGTGTGTCTTTCTGCTTCTGGGATAGCTCACTTGGGATGATCTTTTCTAGTCTCACCATTTGCCTGCAAATTTCATGATTTCCTTGTTTTTAATTGCTGAGTAGTGTTCCATTGTGTAAATGTACCACAATTTCTGTATCCAGTCCTCTGTTGAGGGACATCTGGGTTGTTGTTTCTAGATTCTGGATATTACAAATAAAGCTGCTATGAACACGGTTGAGCAAATGTCCTTGTTGTATACTTGAATATATTTTGGATATATGTCTAGGAGTGGTACAGCTGGATCTTGAGGTAGCACTATTCCTAATAGTTTGAGAAAGCACCAGATTGGTTTCCAAAGTGGCTGTACAAGTTTACATTCCCACCACCAATGGAGGAGGGTTCTCCTTTCTCCACATTCTATCCAGCATGTGTTGTCACTTGAGTTTTTTTTTTTTTTAACCATTCTTATGGGTATCCAGTGAAATCTCAAGGTTGTTTTGATTTGCATTTCCCTGATAGCTGAGGATGCTCAGCATTTCTTTAAGTGTTTCTCTGCCATTCAATATTCCTCTATTAAAAATTCTCTGTTTAGCTCTGTACCCTATTTTTTTAATTAGATTACTTGATTTGTTGCTGTTTAACTTCTTGAGTTCTTTATGTATTCTGGATGTTAGCCCTCTGTCAGATATAGGGTTGGTGAAGATCCTTTCCCAGTCTGTAGGTTGCCGTTTTGTTCTGAGGATAGTGTCCTTTGCTTTACAGAAGCTCTTCAGTTTCATGAGGTCCCATTTATTGATTGTTGCTCTTAGAGCCTGTGCTGTTGGTGTTCTGTTCAGGAAGTTGTTTCCTGTGCCAATGAGTTCAAGGCTCTTACCCACTTTTTCTTCTAATAGGTTTAGTGTGTCTGGTTTTATGTTGAAGTCTTTGATCCACTTGGACTTTAGTTTTGTGCAGACTGATAAGTATGGATCTATTTTCTACATATTGATATCCAGTTAGACCAGGATATTTACTCTTAAATGTGACTCCTTCCAGGTCTCAAGGAATATACAGCACGGGGGATGAACTCAACTTAGGGAACCAGGGTCACTTGGACCAGGTGGCTGCACTGCACTGGATCCAGGACAACATCAGCAACTTTGGAGGGGACCCAGGCTCATTGACCATCTTTTGGAGAGTCAACAGGAGGTTTCAGTACCTCTGTTCTTGTAAGTGTTCCTGGTACCAGGCTCCATGCCCACACTTGACGTCTGCTTATTCGACCTCTTAAAGACCAGCCATCCATGAGCAGCTGTGTTTTCAACACCTAGATTCACGTTGACTACTCGTTGCCCAGATCATATGATGGAGGTCTAAAAAATAAACTCTCCTTGAGGTCTAGAGGATTCAGAGATCAACCTTATCCTGTGAGCCATAAGAAACACCAGACAGAGACTATACCATGCCATTTCTTCTACTCTCCCTCGGCAAATTCTTTTTCTCTCTGCTCTTCATTTTAATACTAGGACTCCCTTGCTTCTCTCAGGGAGGAGTGTTAGATATAAAGTATGAGTATGAAAGGAAAAGGCTGAAGTGGAAACAGGTGTCATTGCTTGGTCCCGGTACAGATCTACATATTAAGGCAACTTAAGCATAAATAACAGGTAGGAATGGTCCAGTTGCTTTTCCACACTCAGGAAGCAGAGCAGCAGGAGCTCAGATTGAGGGACAAGTTAGGCTGGGTGGAGTGGGGTAAAAAGTGACTAAAAGCTAGAATGGAGAAAGGGGTCACAGGAACATTCTGGGAATACAAAGTATCTACATGCCATGGAGAATAGGACTGGATGGCACTGAGGGAAGCTAAAGAAGGCAGTGGTGGCCCTCTAGCTCACTCAGAGTTGAAGAGAGGATCAGCCCTACTTATATGTAGAAGACCTAGGTCCAGACCATGCATTGTCCTTAGTTGATCCTTCAGAGTCTAGAGGCCCCTCTGGACCCTGGTTGATTAGCTCTGATGGTCTTCTTGTGGAGTTTTTATCATCTCTAGGTCCATTTATCCTCCCCCTCTTTTACAGTAGAATCTCTATGCTTTGCCCAATGTTTGGGCTGTGAGTCTCAGTATATATTTTGAAGCATTTCTGGGCGGAGCCTCTAAGAGCCTCTGGTAGGCTTTTGTCTGCAAGCTTATAAGAGTATCTTTAGTAATGAGAGGGGTTGGCTTACTTCCATGGGGTGCATTTTAGGACCGGGTCCTGCACTGGTTGTACATTCCTTCAAACTCTGCTCTAACTGTTCTATCCTTGTCCCTGCAGGTTTTGTAGGTAGGGTAAGTTTTGGATTGAGGTTTTTGTGGGTGGGTTGGTGATCTCCTCTGTCCACTAGGACACTTGTCTAGATGTAGGGTGTCCTCATTAGTCTCCATGGCCCCTGCTACTCGAGTCTTAGCTATCCTCTTCATATCCTCTCCGAGACATATTCAGATTTAGGTCTGCAACTTACGGTAGAGATGCCCCCACCTATCTTTTTTTTTTCTCTGTAGGCCTTCTGCCCTCCTGCCTCTACCCTCCCTGGGTCTGATCTCCACCCTTATTTCTCACTGTGCTCCCCTTTCTACCTTGTTCCCACTCTTTAATCACTACCTCTGTCTATTCTATTTCCCATTCTGAGTGAGATTTGTAT